TCAGCCAATAATGTAACCATCAATTAAATTGATGTGCTTCTCAGATGGGCATGAGAAAATTCCTGTTTCTCTGAGTTTCCTGAAATGGGTACAATATGCTGAACTAAGAGCAAAGTGATGATGGTAGTACTGAGTTTCCTGGGTTTAACTGACTTGCCTCTTTATTATTATTTTAACATTCAGAAGTATTTTTGCCTTCAATAAAAATTAAGATTATACTGTTGTAAATTACACCAGACCTTTGTAGTTGACTTGAAGATTAAGTGGACAATAATTTGTTTACAGTTTGCATAATGCCTTTGGACTAGAGGAATAGGAGTTTATAAAATAACCCAAAAGATACTGGGCAACTTCCTTGTCTCATTGAAGATTTCAGTGGGACAAAGAAGCTGCCCAGTCTCTTTGGGGATATTTGGTAAAACTCTCATTGATTCAACAGGGGCTAGGATTTCATCCTTTGTCTCTTGATTATCAGTACGAAGAAATCCATCACTGAAACAACCAATGATTAAATGCTGCTAACTCAGTGGTTCCCATTAAGTAAGATTGTTTGTATAGAACATCGTGTTCTAAATTCCTATGGCTTAAAAGCCTCTTTGCACTCAAAGATTTCTGATGGATAGTACAATGGAACTATTGAATATCTGGTATTAAAATTCCATAGGTATAGAAGCAAAAAAACAAAACACCCTCAAAGCTGACATCGTTCTTGGGAGTTATAATTCGTACATCTTGATTCAATTTCTTATTTTCTTTTAAATAAAAATTTACTTTTTAAAAATTATTTTCCCTGGTTTTAGGCATCACTCGTATGGAGGAGAGCATACTTTGTGTTGGGCCTGTCCATATTTGCTGTTTTCGGCAGCTTGTACTTTGGTTTCCCCGGATCAGGAGGACTCTGCACGTTGGTCTTGGCCTTCATTGCAGGCATGGGTTGGTCCAGTGAAAAGGTGACTGTTTAGATACCCAGACCTCATGGTCAGCTGAAGTCACTTGAAACACACAAGGTCAGACTGTGATCTCGGTTGTCCAGAAGGTGTTAACCAGAATCTCTTAAGGCAGGAGTTAGGTCACTTGGCTATAAGGCAAATGCCTATGCTCATGTGCAGGAAGCCCAAATCTACTTATTAGAACATGGTAGATGTATTTCTTAAAAACTATTTCCCTTTATTTGGAAACAATGAGTAGCCCTGTGTAGAGATGTTAAATTGCAGTTATCTGATTAGTCGATAAGGACTTCTCTGCAGAGCTGCAGCCAGGGTAGTTCAGGGAGCCGGGACAGAGTAGTCCCAGCTTGTGTTAATTCTGGAAACCACCCATGCTGCGACTCTGTATTTTTAAATGCGGTAAGAGCCTGTGGAGGTTAAAATGCAGACGAGCAGTGTCCCGGACCAGCGTAAACTGATTCGCACTGATTCCTGATTCGCACTGAGTCCAGCAGCCACTATTCACAGAAGCCAGCCCAGGCCACTGCGAACAGGGGCTGCTTGGCAGCAGCAGGCCCTGTCCGCAGGGGGACCCCTGAAGACAGGAGCTGCTGCCGGAGCAGCGTCTGCCCACAGTGAGCCTTGGCCCACTGCCATCAGAGGCTTCTTTGCAGCAGCCTCCCCTACCCCGCTATCCTCCTACACCCCGGGCAGGTGGCACCGCAGAGCTGGTGCTAGGGGAACCGGCTTTTAAGCTGGCTCCCCCCAGCACCAGCTCCTGTTTCTTCCTCCCCCCACCCCAGCTTCCTGCCTCTCATAGAGGCAGCAAGGAGGGGGGGAAGCAGGTAATCAATATTCCAGTCAACTATTCGCTAACATCTCTAGTCCTGTGACACCTCCAAGACTAACAAAAATATAGAGAGAATCATGAACTTTCATGGGCAAAACCCACTCCTTCAGATGAGCTGGAGTGGAAAAAACAAGAACCCAGAATTTATAACAGAAGGAGGAAAAATGTACCTGCCAGTAGAAGTACTGGTGCTTTGTTCCCTTTATTTGAGTCATTTTAAAAGAGTTTTGTTTTAGAAACTAGTTCTGCAGCGTGGTGCCAAATGAACATTGTTGCTTTTGCAAATAGTCAGTGTGCATGGGGTAGCAACGAAGAACTCCTTCAGCTGTAACTCTGAAATGTTTGAATGGACACAACATTAGGCATAAACGCTGATCAGCCTTAACAGTGATCACATCTGGCAGCTTTGTTCTTCAGCATCTCAGGGATATGTAGTTTGAACACAATTGTATATATGTGCATGTAGGTTTAGATGCAGTTGTACAAAACACATCCACATAGGGAAAAGATAGCTGAGATACAAGATCCCTTCTGGCTATGTAGAAGAAATTAGTCCCTGGAAATGTAAACATATAAGGAAACAGAGATTTGATAGTCCTTCCTGCAGAGGCACGATATCCTACTCATGGTACAATATGTACTGTCTTGAGTGAAACATCAAATTCCTTTCCAGTACGGAGTCTTTTCCCTGTTTCTTTACCTGCAAAACCCTTCTTTATATGAGAAAGCACATGGCAAAAGAATGGGCAGCACAGACCTGCTTCTACTCACTCTATTTAGTAAAAAGGAAGGTAATTGCTATCAATCATGAGTTGGATAAACATAGTGCAATAGAGCTTTACCAAAATAATTTTGGCAGAAAATCATAATGAGTTATGCCTGCATCTCAGCAACCCCACTGCATCACTGTTTGCTCCTTTTAAAAATATTTCTTTTGCAATAGAACACAGTCAAAAATGGACACAGAGCAACATGTCAGTCCGACTCATTTTATGTTGTGATGAAATCAAATGTTAAGGCTACAAGGTCCAATTTTTGTAAGTTTACAGATTGCACCCTTTCCTTATAGATGGCTGTGGAAGAAATTGTTGCAGTTGCATGGGACATCTTTCAGCCCTTTCTTTTTGGTTTAATTGGAGCAGAAATATCTGTTTTCTCTCTCAAGCCTGAAACTGTGGGTAAGACTACTTGGAAGACCAATAGTTTTGACTAGAGTTTTTGCTAGCTATCCTGCAGAAAGAATCGCTACAAAACAGTTTGTAGTGACTATTGGGAAATAGGTTATGGCAGAATTTCTCAAATTGGGGTCTGTCAAGCACTAGGAATCCACAAGGGCACTCCAAAGGGTCCACTAGCACTGCCAATCAACTTGTCCTCCTTGCTCCCTCAATTCCTTCCCCTCGCTCCCAGTGCCCCCTGCACACCAGAGAATAGCTGTTCAGCAGCATGCATCAGGCTCTGGGAGGGAGGGATAGGACCATAGAGGGGGGCAAGAAAGAGGCAGTGGAGAGGAGGGATGGGGTGGAGCAGGGTGGGAAGACGTAAGCTGGGGGTGGGGCATTGGGAGAAGGGGCGGAGTGGATGCAGGACCTGGGGTTGGGGAGGAAGGAGTTTGGGGGTCTGCAAAAATGTTTACATTAAAATGGGACCCCTCAGGTTGCTGAAGCTTGAGAACCACTAGGTTATGACGTAGTTACACACATTTGTTTCCTTTGTTTTACCTGCCCGAGACATGCTACAGCAAATATTCTAGTTAGCATCTTACGTGTATAGCAGGTCAGGTTTGCCAGTGCTCGGTTGTAGGACTTAAGCATCTCCTCAAGCTGTGAACAAAATCTGGGTTTTCCAGTCAATGTAACAGGATTAGTTCTCAGTAGTGTGTTACCCAAGCAAAACACTTGACTTTTGTGGGAGTTTTGCCTGAGGGAGGAGTGCCAGATTGGACCCTGTGGCTGAAACCATCGTTTGCACAAATGCACAGTCGCAAGTGGTTTTAAGTGACAATGGCTCTGTCAAGATAGCACCTTGCATTATCTACTTTGTTGTCTGAAGCAAACCCTTCACACCTAAAGATTCCCACATTACTGATTCACTAAAAATCTAGGTTGATAAAATACCTTCAAACACACAGTATTGGTTCTATTCTGGTAGCCTATACCCCATTTTTCTAATTTAAAAGAAAACTGATGCAAAGATGTTGTTAATCTGTAGTTGTAAAAGCCCTTTCTTCCTCAGATCTGTTTCAAGAAGTTGTTTTTGTCTCTGCTGTAGGGCTTTGTATCGCCACACTGGGCATTGCCTTAATAGTACGCATCACTGCTACATTCCTGATGGTGTCTTTTGCTGGCTTTAACTTCAAGGAGAAGATATTTGTCTCCTTGGCATGGATCCCCAAAGCCACTGTCCAGGTAGCGTATGACAACAGGAGGAGTGACAGGATCATAGAAGTCACCATGCCCGATTCTCCTCTCACACCAGTTTTACACCAAACTAAATTCATCAACCTCAGTAGAATTATTCCTGATTTGAGCTGGCCTAAGTAAGAGAAGGGGTAATGGATTTCTGTGGGGGACTTCGAAGTAATCAGTTCTGTGTTTCCATATTGAAATGGGCAGGGGAGTTGCAGCACAGGATTTGGGGGATGTGCTGTGGTGTAAGCTCCAGGGCAGTACAGAGAGATTTCCTACAGGATAACTGAAGCTAAGTTTAGGACTCTGCTGCTTTTCCAACTCTTGCTTCCCTTCATCTGCCCTTTAAAAGTGAAAGGACGTAGTGGCAGCAGTTGAGCAGCAAAAAGCTATGCTAAATATGTATTTGGCTCTGAGTGTGGACTTCACTGCCGCTTTCTAGGAATCCCGGAAGCCAACTACCAAAAAAGGGAATGCCCCTCTCCTTCCATCCCCTCCCAGAGAGGTTTGGGTGTCCTGAGTAAAGCCTGACCATCTAAAAAGCCTGCTGTGGGTGTTAAAACAAACAGGTTGAGGCTGAAAAGTGTGTAAAAATTGTGTGTGTCGAATATCAGTATGGACCAAAAGAACCTGCCAGGAACCGAAATTTCAGTTCAGGTGTAATAGGCCTGTCTTGCATAGTGTGGTTCATTAGTTTGGGCTGAAGGGTTTTCCAGGCGCTGTACACAAGGGCTGCACCTGTTTAAAACCCACTCTGTGACCAGGCCCACCCACATGAGGGGGAGGGAGAGGAGGCAAAGGGGGCTTGGAGATTCTAAAGAGCCAGGGGCTCCCAGCCAACGCTGATGCTACTGCAGCTGTGGAAGTGGCTAGAGCCCCCGGCCCTTTAGAATCGCTGCTGGAGCCCCAGGCAGTGCACCCCACAGTCCCACGCCACGTGCTCTGACTGGCTTTGAGAGCTGGCGTGGGAGTGGAAGGAGGAGGGGATTGCTGCACTGTCCAGGCAGCACTGAGGACTGGCAACACCGGCTCTTCTGCCCAAGGCCCCAGCCCTCTCAGGAGCATGAAGCCATCCTCGCTGCCCACGGACCCAGTGATCCTGTCCTTCCCTGTCAGTGACAATCCACCATTGAAGTGGGCAGCTGTGATACTGAGGAGACGCTGACAGTCTCCAGGTGAAGCTTCCAGGGGCCGAGGGCAAAGCTGTCTCTTTGGAAGGCCCTGGCCTTTGGGGCCTGCAATCCCCAGAGATGTGATAACCCTGAGTGTTGCACCTTTTAAGACCTATTCCAAGACTCGTGACCTAAAATCTCAAAAACAGCTAGTGATTTTGGGTGTCCAAGTACAATTCAAGCCCCTTGAAAAGGGTTGAATCAGGCATTAAAAATGGTGACTTTGGGGTATTACTAGTCATTTTTGAAAATGTAGGCTCATCTCCTTAATTAGGCCTTCCCTCATAATGGAGTAACATGACAGCAGTATTTCTCTGGGCAGACTATTGCCAAGGGCGCACCCCACTTGAAACAGCAGCCTACAGTGGAACATAGAATGAAGGCCATTCTTTGACAAATACCTTAACCTTGTATATGGGGGCCCCAATCTTATGGTGCTGGGAGTGTTAGAAATGTAAATAGATGGCAGCCATTTGGGGTGAAAAGCAGGCATGCCCCCAGCCGTGAGAATATAGCAGGCTAACAATGGAATGGATATGCACATGTGCACCCACACGCAACTCTAAGGCTACGTCTACATTGGCATGATCTTGCGCAAATACTCTTTAACGCAAGAGTTCTTGCGTTAAAGTATTTGCGCAAGAGAGCGTCTACACTGGCATGTGCCTTTGCGCAAGAGCATCCGTGCCAGTGTAGACGCTCTCTTGCGCAAGAAAGGTCCAATGGCCATTTTAACCATAGGGCTTTCTTGCACAAGAAATTCATGTTGCCTGTCTACACTGGCCTCTTGCGCAAGAACAGTTGTGCAAGAGGGCTTATTCCTGAGCGGGAGCATCATAGTTCTTGCACAAGAAGCACTGATTTCACACATTAGAACGTCAGTGTTCTTGCGCAAGAACTCCCCGCCAGTGTAGACAGGCAGCAAGTTTTTGCGCAAAAGCGGCCACTTTGGCGCAAGATCGCGCCAGTGTAAAGATAGCCAACGTGTAGGACCAGGCCCTTCATTTCCTTCTTTAAATGCACAGAGTTAGTTGTTCCATTTCACTGTGTTTTTAACAAAGCTTTTCTCTCTGTGTAGGCGGCGATAGGTTCCCTTGCCTTAGATACAGCTAGAGGGCATCAGGATGAACTGCTGGAAAAGTATGGCATGGATGTGCTGACAGTGGCGTTCTTGGCAATCCTGATCACAGCTCCAATAGGAGCGCTGGTTATTGGCCTGGCAGGGCCCAGACTTCTGCAGAAGGCTCAACTAAGCAGTGATGAAGAGGAGGAAGGTGTTCAAGGAAGAGAAGCAGAGATCTCTGGGCCTGCATAGGAAAGAAACAGTGGATAGCATACTGGTTTCACAACTGCTGCTACTAGTTACTTAGTAAATGCAATGTCTGTACTGTTCAGATGGAAATTGAAATAGGTAACAATCAGTTACTGGTCCCATTAAGACAGTAGCCTCTGTGGATATGTCTACACTACCACCCTAGTTTGAACAAGGGTGGTTAATGTAGTCATATGAACTTGCAAATGAAGCCCGGGATTTGAATTTCCCAGGCTTCATTTGCATGTTGCTGGGCGCCGCCATTTTTAAATGTCCGCTAGTGCGGCACGAACTAGGTAGTTCGGAATAGGCTTCCTATTCCGAACTACCTGTACGCCTATTCCGAACTACCTAGTTCATGCCGCGTGTAGGGCACGGAGTCTGCACTAGCAGACATTTAAAAATGGCGGCGCCCGGCAACATGCAAATGAAGCTTGGGAAATTCAAATACCGGGCTTCATTTGCAAGTTCGTATGACTTCATTAACCACTCTAGTTCGAACTAGGGTGGTAGTGTAGACATACCCCGTGTTTTGCAAAATATTGTTAACTGTTGATAGAGCCTTATAAGGAAAGATGAAAAGAAATAAATGTACAGTATGTAGGCTAGATATGACTGATGGGATAGGATAATGGTCTATGGTTAATTGAAGAGTGTGGGTGTAAACATCACAGAAGAACAACTGTTCAGGGTGTATAACTGGAAGTAATGAGATGAAAATTTGAAAGAAGGAAATGTAGAGTATCAGGAATAACTGTTGCATGTTGAGATCAGAGATTGAGGAATAGGAAAGAAGAGCCCCATCCCTGGAGCCATTTAAAGAACCATGCGCCTGATAACTTTTGGACAATGTATAGAGAAAATTTTCACCTAAGAGGGTGATTCTCTGCCTTGTCCTGTCGGGGACCCCAAAACCTGGTGAGTTCTTGCTGTGGTCGACCTGAATCTCTTTCAGTCCTTTGTAACAGCAGAGGAATGTGGAGAGTCACAGCAAGAAACTGCAGGAGGGCTTGAGTCATGAGTGGGCACACAGGCAAGATTGGTGTGGTGCTTGTAGGAGCTACTTGCTGAAAGGCTGAGTTTGGAGCTGGTGGATAAAGCTAACTGGAGGGGTTGCATAGGTGTGGGGTGACTACTGCTAAGGATGTTTTATTTTCTGTTCCCTCTTGCGCACACACAACTCACTCCTGGGCCATTGCTGTAAAGGCAGCTGTATCACCCCTGGGAGCACCACTTCCCATGCCCAGAACTTGCAGGCAAAGCAGGACCTAGGCAGAATGAGTTGCTCCTTTCAGCCTGTGGCTCTTGGTATGGCCTCACTGCCACAGATTCTGAGTTCTTCTCAACCCATAAGGTGTGGCCCAGCTAGTGGCCCCTTGTGACCTACCCAAGGGATGCCCCAAGTAGACGGAGAAAATATGGTTACAAGAGGAGACTTTTGCCATGTGAATTTCTATAATTCTGTCAATATTAAATAAATTATTGTTTTAAAAAGTGCAGAGGGTTAATGCCTAGGACTCCCCCCTCACTCTCATCTGATCCATGAAACATGGATAATTTTCACAGACAGCTGATACCTGGGTTGACAGTGGATGATGGAGGGCAGTACGAAGAGAGCAGCTTTTCATTGTCAAACAGTGGTTCTTCCCTTGTGATTAATGCTAAAGAATAGCAATCATCCCAGTTTAAAATGAGTGGCCCTGAAAATGCAATGTCATAGAGCACTGACAACACTGGAACAGCAGATGCCCTCCCTCTGCCTTGCGGAACAAAAGGCTCTTCTGGAAAACATTATAATGAAGGGTGGATATAGGTGAGACCATATTGTTGTGCTTAGACTTCTTTAGAACTGAGCATGGAATGGTTAAGCACCTCCTGTGATAAACTTTATAGATTTCCAGACGGCTTTTGGCAGCGTACACAGAGAATCTCTGGAGAATTATTGTAGAGTATGGGCTGTTAGGCTTATTCAGGAGCTATATGATCATGCTGAATTGGCAGTCAGTTTGCAGCACCCGCTCAAGTAGGGGCAGAGGTGTATTTTTCCCCCCCGTTATTCCTTGCACCAGTCATTGACTGTATCATGAGGAAAAAGTTAGTGTGAAAGGAAAGTTTTATGGGAAAATGATAAAGCGCCATTGATCTTGTTCTCACTGATGACAGATAGTAGTTATCCCTCGCTGGGGGACAGGATAGCAGTTTTCAGGTATCTAAAAGGGTGTCATGAGGAGGAGGGAGAAAACTTGTTCATCTTGGCCTCTGAGGATAGAACAAGAAGCAATGGTCTTAAACGGCAGCAAGGGTACGTCTACACTACAGCGCTAGTTCGAACTAACTTAGTTCGAATTAGTTAATTCGAACTAAGCTAGTTCGAACTAGCGCATCTAGAACTAAAAACTAGTTCGAACTAGCGTTTTGCTAGTTCGAACTAGCGCGTCCACACTGATTGGACGCAGGGGGGCATTTAAGGGCAGCTGAAACCGGTTCTGGCAGGGCATCAGGTCAGCAGTTGCTTTGTGTGGCTGCTGTCTGAGGCTATCTGAGGCTCGTGCTTAAAGGGACCCCCCCTGGACAGCCGGTTCTCAGCTTTTCCTGCTTGCTTGCCAACCTCGCCGAGGGGGAGCAAGAGGGGGAGCAGGGGGAGGAGGAAATGGAAAGCGGTCTAGCAGGC